TGGGGACATTGGAATATGCTGCAGAGGGGTGGCAGATTAGATAATAGTGTTATGTCAATACCACATTCCCTGATTTTTAGAGACACTGGCTCTATAAGAATATTCTTACACTTGGTTTAAGAGGTAAAATGGCATTATATCAGAAATTTACCCTCAAATGGTTCAAGAAGAAAATTGTATACTCTATGTATTTATTTCTATTAATTACATACATAAATAAATATATAAAATTAATTAGGTACTTATATGCATCTATATATCTACATGCATATCTATAAATAGATACATAAAAATCTAATACGTGTGTGTACCATATAAACATCTCGACGTGTGTGTGTGTGTGTGTATGTGTGTGTACGTACAGAGAGAGAGAATGACAAATTTAATGATAAAGTAAAATATGACAAAATGTTAAGCTGGTGAATGTGAGTAGTCTATAATATCTCTTTGTATTCTTACAACGTTTTAGGCAAATTTAAGATAATTTCAAAGTGCAAAGTTTAGAAATTAAATTTCTTCAGTAGAGGACTTGTAAGGGCTTTTAGTACTCATGCACTCATTCTGTCCTCATTAATTGGGCACCTACTATGTGCCAACACTGTGCTAAGTGGTTTAAGAAGGCGGGGCGGGAGGAGGGAAATGGGTGATGGGCATTGAGGAGGGCACTTGTTGGGATGAGCACTGGGTGTTGTATGTAAGTGATGAATCGTGGGAATCTACCCCCAAAACCAAGAGCACACTGTATACACTGTATGTTAGCTAACTTGACCATAAATTATATTAAAAATAATAATAAAATAAAATTCTGGGCAGGCATAAAAAAAATAAACAAATACACCCTCTTCTAAAACAGAAAAAGAATATCTGAAAAGAGGATCTCATGGGGAGAATTTTCTGTGAAACACATTTTGCAATATATTACTTTGCCGAATGAAAATCCTTCTCCTTAACTGGTTCACAAGCTCCTGAATGGCTGATGCCTGGTCTTAGAGATCATATTCCTCCAGTGTGTACATACCCAACAGGCTTAGTCCACGGAGGAGCTTGTAAATGGGGGTGAGTGAGTGAGTGAGTGGAAGCCACTGAGAGGCTCTCTGTAGCTGCCACCTGCTTCTTGTGGGGATCACTCATGGACACCTTTGGCTGTGCCCCACGTGCCAAAGCTGCCAGATTCCTCCGGGTGCCACAATCTCCACGAAACAGAGTCACTGCTTCTAGAATCCCACCCACCAAAATGACTGTCACTACGATAACACCAAAATCCTAGGCAGTTCTTTCTTTCCCTCCAACTCTGACTCTAGAACAGAGGATATGACACTGGTCATCAAGGCCCATCACTGCCACAGAAAACACTTGAGGTATTTGATCAGTGGCATCTTATACCCAGTCCAGAACCCGAGCTGGTGGAGACAGAGTCCTGGACAGTCTCACACAGGGAGAATAAGAGGCTTACATTTAAGAGTGAGTCACTAATTTCTGGGGTGCCTGAGTGGCTCAGTCGGTTAAGTGTCTGAATTTGCCTCAGGTCATGACCTTGCGGTTGGTGGGTTTGAGCCCCGCATCGCGCTCTGTGCTCACAGCTCAGAGCCTGGAGTCTGCTTCAGATTCTGTGTGTGTGTGTGTGTGTCTCTCTCTCTGCCCTCCCCCGCTCATGCTCTGTCTGTCTGTCTGTCTCTCTCTCTCTCTCTCTCTTTATTTTAGGAATAAACATTAAAAATTTAAAAGAAAAAAAGAGTGAGTCACCAATTCCAGCAGCTTCTCTGGTAAGTTCTCTGCATAATATCCAACACCAAAAGAGTTAGATATAGAAAGGTCTTGGAAATAGAAATGGAAACAAACTTATTCACAGCTGCCTTGATCTGCCTGGGAATCCTTGCTTGGTATTGTTTCCGAAGGACTGCTTTCACCTCATCACTTCTTATACTGCCTCTCCCCCTTTCTAGCAGATTCTCAAGAGGCCACAGGTTTATAACTTACAAACCTGAGTATGCATCACAGACACTGACAATAGGAAAAGCTTCCAGGGATAGTAGGGTTTGATGTGATGACACCATCTAGAAATTTGAAATTGCTCTTCTAAAGTGAAGCGGAAATACGCAGGACACAGCTTTGCCAAGCCAGTTGGACCCTGAAATGTCCTTTTCAGATCCAGTGGGTCACAGCACACCATCCCTAAAGAAGAGCAGAATCTTGTCCTGTCACACACAAACTGATGGCATAACAAATAATAGAATCTTAGAGTAAGACACGGCCTTGGAAGTCACTGAATCCAGGTGCTCACTCGCAAACATTGACTAGAAAAATTCCGCAGAAGATGCTTTGTGTGGGTAACCCTTCCAGAAAGCCAACTCTACTGTTCCTTGACACTCTCCAACGCAACCGCTGAGTGCAACAAAGTTGTTGGAAATGTCAGATGCCAAAGTCTCACAAGCGTCAGCAGGGAAGTTTGCCCTGCCTCATGGCTAGCTGCCAGATGCCAGTCCTGAAAAGAAATCTACAGGGAGAGACACACCAAACCCGGAAGAACACGGCTGACCTCATCCTCAGTGCCTCCCGGTGGCACCACTCAAACTGAATCCGACGGTCTTCAGAGCACGGATGTTGCCATGGCTCATGCAATTCCCTTGCTAGTCACACAAACACATCCTGACAATTTAACCACTACCCACCCTGTGAAGTACATTTTCGTTCTTGAAAATTACCTCAAATGTC